ATGATTTTAAATGCTAATTTATATATGTCTTCATTTTCATGTTGCTGCAAAACTTCAATTTTCTCCAAACCTCCACCTTCTTCTGTTATTTCGGCTATTGTGCTTGCTTCATCACCAGCCATTACCTGGATGTCTTTAAGACCATCCAGAACCCCCTGAACCCCCTGAGAGTCTTGAACTGACTGTGGTGGTATTACATTCTGTTGTACAAGGTACTCCACTTCATCTTTTCTGCCACTTATTGTTAAGTTGGTAATTGCCCAAGCACCTTCCTTTTGTGTTGCGAAGTCCCCCTTAGCAAGCTGGTGAATGATTATGGGGATTAACCCGGAATCTATTACTGCTTGAACTTGCCGCTGATTGCCTGCTGTTATATTGGAAAAGAACGACACTGCTTCCTTATTTATTTTCTCTTTCGGGTGTGATAAGAGGTTTGGGAAGTAGGACAGGAAGTGGCAGTTAAAACCACCTGGGTCTGCTCGTCTATGCCGGTCAACATGTTCCCAGTTGCTCTGACTGCTGCTGTTTGAATCACTTCCCGATGGCTCAGAGGGGGCACGAGGAATGGTACAACGCCCGAATCAATGACCATCTGTATCTGCTCATTTCCTCCATCTGTCAGGTATGACAGAGCCCAACCAGTGTCTACAATAATATTTATGTCTGTGTGGTATATGAGAACACATAAAACTGGCAAAATCTCCTGTCTCCATAGGCGGTGGGGGGGTCCTTATTCCTGCAGAGATTGACAATGACCCATGTGACGTTCCGAAGGAAGGTGATGGGAATGAAGGGACTGATGAAGGACAGAAGAGGTTTCACAGCTCCCAGTGACATGACATAATCTCTACATTGAAGACCATCACCTAAAATGTTTCCCAAAGCCCACATCGCTTGTTCACAGACATTCTGATGTGGGGAATGGAGGAGTCTCGGAAAAAGGGGCACTGTATTACATTGTACAGCAGCTTGAGTCTGTGCAGAGGTTCCTGATGCTATGTCAGTTAGTGCCCAAGCAGCTTCAAACTGTAATGTCCCTAACTAGACATTTCACTAGAATTTGTAAAATTCCAGATTTTATTAGGGCATCAATTGGTGGATTTCTGTCACCCGATAATAGTTTCCTTGCTGCCTGGACGGCGCTAGACTGGACTACAGGGTTATCACTTGTAGCATTCTGCAATATAGCTTTTGGCGTTACGTTTTGTGCTTTAAAATCAGCATCGACATCTGAATGTTCCAAGCTTTCTTCCTGGGGAACACATTTCTCTTTTTCAGTAAGTGTTCATCTCTTTTGTTCTTCCCCAGTTCAACTGTCACTTCATTTCTGTGTCTTTGCATTGTCGCCACATCGCGGCTTTTGCTTTTGACGCTCTCGATGCGGTGGTTCTCCAAGCCGGGGCTCTGGAACGCGGCTGCAAGAGTCTCCAGTGGCGGCTGCTCCTTCGGCGGCAGAGGCGGCGAGACGAGAGGGAGGGGACAGAGGGGGAGGAACCCGAGCTCCGTGACACCCGGAGCGCGAGGTGGCCGCGGCGCCGGGACGGTGCTGAGGATCAGCACTTGTCGGGAGAGGCCGGGGGTACTGGGCTGCTGGCTGTCGCGGTGACCCTGCCCTCATCCCACCGAAGGGCCTCCCCACCGCCACTAGTCAAGTGCTAGAAATGGAGCCAGACCTAGCAGCTTTTCCTGCCACCCGTGACTTGGGGCGGTGGGTGGAAACTACAGTTCCCAGCATGCCCTGCGCTGGTTTCCAGCTCGCCACACTTTAAAGTTAGTATTTGACAACAATACTAATCTTAGAAAGTCTGCGAACTCTTGGAAAGTGAACAGTGCCCAATTGAATCACAACTGCTTCAAGGAAGAAATCAAGAAAAAAATTTAAAGACTTTCTAGAATTCAATGAAAATGAAGGCACAACATACCCAAACATACGGGACACTGTGAAAGCAGTGCTGTGAAGAAAGTTCATAGCACTAAGTGCCTGCATAAAGAAAGTGGGGAAATCTCACACTAGTGAGTTAACAGCACACCTGAAAGCTCCACAACAAAAGAAGCAGACTCACCCTGGATGAGTAGATGACAGGAAATAATCAAATGTAGGGGTGAAGTCAATAAAATAGAAAGAAGGAAAACAATACAAAAAAAAAATCAATGTAACAAAGAGCTGATTCTTTGAAAAAAAATCAAGAAGATAGACACACCCTTATCCAAATTAATGAAAAGGCAGAGAGAGAACATCCAAATTAACAAAGGCATAAACAAAAAAGGCAGACATAACAACAGACACTGAGGAAATCCAGAGAAACTTTAGGTCATACTACAAAAAAACTATACTCCACAAAATTGGAACATGTAAAGTAAATGGACAGATTTCTGGATAGGTGCCACGTATCAAAATTAAATCAAGACCATGTGAACAATTTAAATAGACCTATAACCTTCAAGAAAACTGAAGAAGACCTCAAAAGCCTAACTCCATGGCCTCCCCCCCAAAAAAAATCCCACGGTGGACAATTCCAGAGCAGAATCCTACTAGAACTCTATAGAAGAGTTAACACCTATAGTCCTCAAATTGGCTTGGAATAGAGAGGAATATATTGTGGGAGGGGACAGGAACCCACGGCATTCAATCTGGGTGTTCCTGGAGACAGGATCTTGCTCACTTTGGTCTAAGTATTCAGTAGACATAAAATATCTTTATAATGTTTGACTCCTTTATTTCTCTAATCTTTTAGCATTTACCTCAATATATGACTCTGTCTTTTTATAATTTAGATCAATTAGACTTTGTGCTATAGTGATATGTAAATAAATTTCATAAACCATGTAGGGCCCATGGGTCTACCCCTGATCCTGTGGTTCATTCTGAGGATAGTTTCTGGCCAACCAGCTAAAACATCCTGCTTGTTCCTGTGCTCCCTCTGCCTCACCTGGTGATTAGCTATAGGGCAATTGTTAGAAAAAAGAAAGAATGAAATTCTCTACAGTGATGTTACAAGCTTGAGACAGACAACAAGCCAGGGCTAGTTAAAATGGACTCCTTGACTTGCATGGAAGCAGCTCTGGCCTTCTGCCTAGTCACCCTGCTCAGAGCAAAAGTTGCTTTCTCTGAGAGTAATAGAGACCATCATAACTGTTCATCCAGGAACACTGTATAGAGGGCAGTTAGGTGACTTTTCCTTGAAGTTTTCTAGTTTTGTATTCTCTATCTTTTATGTTCAGACTTCCTAAGTAAAATCCCCATGCTTCCTTTGTTGAGGAAAAACACTGTTTTGAAAATAACTCCCATGCATTTTGTGCCTCCTACAGGCAAGATTTTTTTCTCATTTCTGCTGTCTTGGCTGTTGAAATGGCTATTTTTCATATGTCAAACTGATTACCTCTGGGATTAACTAATACATAAAGAATTGATTATACCTGATAGAGATTTTACTTAAAGGTTTTGAAGTGGGAAAATTCTCCATTAATCTGTATAATTTGAGATAATAGGACCCACCTTTAGCTGCTTGGTGTCAGTGCACACTTTTAACACCATCACTTAAGAGGCAGAGGCAGTGGGATTTTCTGAGTTTGAGACTAGTCTGGCCTACAGATTGAGATTCAAAACTACACAGAAAAATCCTGTCTTGAAATCTCAAAAAAAATTTGATTCAAACAAAGTCTATGACCCAACTTTAACCAGCATCTCCCATCCTGGCAGCAGCAGTCACATATAAAGTATATTGAAGAAGAAAAGTCTCTGGTTTTGCCTTCTTGCTCTAGCTCTGGCTACCAAGCTCATTTTTTTTTTTTACTAGCTTTAGAGCCTACTTTCTTGTAATTTTGGTGTATACTTAAAACCAGCTGAGACATTGTACATCATGGGCTGAACAACTATTGGATTCTTCACTTGATCTTAGACAAAAGGCAGAGAACCAATCTCCTGCATTCTTCATTGCCATTGGTAGGCAACTATTTTTAGATGACCTGAACCGCAACTTGTGAGACATTCTAATAAGCCCACTTTCTACATACATAGTGAAATTCATTCTCCCTGTTCTGTTTTTGTAGTGAATCTTCTTTTTTTTTTTTTTTTTTTTTTTTTTTTTTTGGTTTTTCAAAACAGGGTTTCTCTGCAGCTAACACTTGTAGACCAGGCTGGCCTCAAACTCACAAAGCCCCACCTGCCTCTGCCTCCCAAGTGCTGGGATTAAAGGCATGCGCTACCACCACCCAGCCATGTAGAGAATCTTGAATACTGCAGTTGTATATTTTATTCACCTGACCATGGAGGGAGACGTGCTGGCTAACAATAGTGCTCATGAAGACATTCTTCCTAGCTCCATTATTCTCTACAAATTCAAATTTCCATGAACACTACTCTTTTGATTATTATACATTTACCTGGAGCTTGCTTTGAATTTCAGGAATAAAACTCACAAAGCAATGGAGCCATCATCCAGCTTTCTGATGGGGGAAAGACCTGTCATTTTGTTTAAGATCTCATTCCTGCTTTTCTCTTTTCTATTGTGTGAAATCCCTGTGAAAACCATGTAAAAAGTACCTTCAATTTATCCGACCTCAGCATGAGGCCACAGAACAAACATCTCCTTTTGACTTTAAAACTCTCTTTAACTGTGAATATTCTGGGCATCTTTCCCCTTGTGGGACAGGAAATCCCTGCACCCACCTAGCACAGTGCACAGTACAGGCTAGCTAGCCACATTGTGTCCTGGAGGAAAAACGGAAAGTTCCTATGGAGTGCAAGAAGATGGCAGTGGCTGCTTTTGGAGCCAGGGGCGAGTGCAATTGAAATGCAAATCTTGGCCGATCTAGAAAAGATCTTTGACTGGAATTGGCAGGAACTACTGTGCTGTGTCTTTAAGCACACTATTGCCCCAAAGGAGGTGTTCTTGTCGCTCAGGCCGCACTAGCCAATCAGGTCCTTCTGACCTGCCAGTCAGAACCGGAGTCGAGCTCTTCCGGGCAGCCGCCTTCAGATTCGGCTTTGCCTAGGCGCTGGCGACAGTGTTTTTGTGTGCTGCGATGAAGTTGCTGCTGCTGGGAGATGATGAACTGAGAGCTTTGGCAATCTGGAAAACCACAACATGGTGAGCGGGGGAATGCTGTCTCCAGATGGGGAAGAGCAGAGGGTGAGGGGCGGGTGACAGCATGGTGCGTCCTCCCTGGATCTGTGTGGGAACCTGCCGCCAGATTCCCTGTGTTTTAAAGTCTCAGGCGGTCCTTGTTAATTCATAGACCTAGGGACAGGCCTCTGAATAACTGTGCTGTGGGCTTAATCTGCTTAGAGAATTGGGAGCAGGGTGTTGTGTGTACAAACATCTTTCTTGTCAACTTCAACAGGCTTGATGCATTCATGGAAACAATTTGCCACATTCAGAGAGGCATAGTAACTCTAGCATCTTCTCGATATTGAGCACTTTGCATTTAACCTTTACATACTATCTCCATTTATATTTAACTATGTGGAGGGTATCAAGGCAGCTCACCCATTGGGTAGCACTGCACTTCTAAGCTGCAAAGTAGAAGAGTAGAATTAGCGATATAAAGAAGTTGCCAACAATCCTCTAACAAACTTCTCTAGGAGGCATTGGCAACTCTTTTATATCTGTAGGACTGTCGTGACTATCCTGGAACTCACTCTGTAGACCAGGCTGTCCTCAAACTCACAGAGATCACAGGGCCCAGACTCCTAAATCCTGAGATTAAAGGCCTGTACCACCATCACCAGGCAAAATGCTATTTTCCTTAGCTTACTAGGCATCTGCAGGACCTACCCACCTTAACATTTTAGCTTTTTTACATTTTACTTGTCCTGTCTTTCTCACCCTCTGTGACCTTCATCTCAGAAGGCTGTCCCTGAAGAATGATCTGCTGATTCAAGTCACCAGTGCACTTCAAAACGTATCCTGGGAAGAGCTTTGCTTTCTAACTCTCCCATCTGCCTAAATGTCTAGCCTGGCAAATTGCCTGTTTCTATTTCAATTGTTCAAGGTGTAACCTGGGGCCTGAACCTAAAGGACACTCAAGAATAATAGCATATGTGGAATGCAAAATCTGTGTAGCTGGCTCCTGTTTGAGCTTTAGCCAGAGATTGATGTCTACCATCATTAAAGAGGATTTTCTTTATTAATCTCCTAGGTGTGGGAAATGGTTTCTCAATGGAAAGGCATATTACTTCTAGAACAGCTGCATTTCCATCCTGATAGAAAAATTGTTTTTCAGACAAGTCCTCTTATGTTGACTCAGGTGGCCTTGGCCCTTACCTGCTGCTGTCCAGGGCAATGACCTTGCTGTCCAGGGCAATGACCTTGCTGTCCTCTACATTAGACTTTCAAAATTCTTTTAAAAATGACTGTACCACCTCACAGTTTTAAATTATGCATTTGAGTCATGTAGTTGACTATGCATTGCAGTTGCAGGATAAGGATTTGCATATGGAGCATTCCTTCTGTCTTCAGACCACAATAGGAGGAATAGTTTACCGTGTACACTGCAGGGGAAACAGCATAGACAACCAATCAGCTGTTGGAGTCACCATTATGAAAAAGGGCTTGATTGTGGTAGTGGGAGTGAATTTGTAATTTCCCAGCATGTTTTATTTTAATTAACATCATGTGAATGATCACAGACCATTATGTGGAGGTGTACAGATTGGGAAGGTTATCTTGAGACAGGAACATAAAATTTGCAATTAGGCAACTATCCTATGCAGATATGATTGATGTTGCTTGACACAGTTATGTCAGCTCAGAGATTTGAGAAACAGGCCATTGACTAACTCTTAGTGTCGGTTACAGATCTCAGCAGCCAACATATGTATGTGGGCAACATCAATCTATCTTATTAATGACATCCTGTCTCCTATACAAGGGCCTTATCTTTTTCAAAGTCAATATCAAAAGTTTTATTTAATCTTAAAAGTGCAGTATTTTTATTATTTTAAAAATCACTAACTGCTGTCATTTTCAAATACTTTCAGTGTATTGCTGCTGTTATCTCTATTTGTTTCTGTTCTCTAATGTTACTAAGCCATTAGTAATTGCATTTCATTTCTCTCAAGTGATGTCGATTATTGATTTCTGTGTAGAGCAATGTCTCCTATAGTTTAGGCTTGCCTCATGCTGTGTAATTGAGAATCATTTTGAACACCTAATCCTGCCTCTGCTGCCCAGTGCTGGGAAGACAGTCCTACAACTCCTTCCAGGTTTGACCTTGACTTATCAATGAGAAAGAAAAGTAGAACAGTTAATGAGTGTCTGCTGATCTTTCTGGGTTTTATTGGGGACTAAAAGAAGAGGGACCTGAGCAAGAGTTGAGCTCATTGACCAAGTTTGAAGCTGGTGGAGACACAGTGCAGAAAGGGAGAGGCTGGGCAGAGGGTGAGAGTTTTCTCCCTCCAACAGTCATTGAGGTTAGCTCTGTGGAATCAGGTAGTCAATTGTAGATGCTCTGTGAATGTCCTGAATGATCATTGTTTGAGTACACAGACCACGGCTATCAAGAATCTGGGTAAGGGACTGACCTTATCTTTCAACCTAGTTGCTATATTTACAGTAGTTCATCCAAACTGTATAGAAGATCTGGGTAAAATGCTATGGCCCTGCTTCACAGGACTGTTACTTTTCTGGATTAAGATGTTTATTATTAGAGAAATATATGATAAATCTTTTATGTGCTCTAATACAGATACCTAGTCTATGGAGCACATGGTAAAAAGTCTGTTTCAACTTTTCTAAGATTTTTGAGATGAAAACTACATCATATTTATATTCTTTTTGATGCCTCCAAGCCCTAACATGATCCCAATTATTTTCTAATTATGGTCATTTTTTTTAAGATTTATTTATTTAGTATACAACATTCCTTCCATGTATTCTTGCAGACCAGAAGAGGGCACCAGATCTCATTACAGATGGCTGTGAGCCACCATGTGTTTACGGGAATTGAACTCAGGACCTCTGGAAGAGCAGTCAGTGCTCTTAACCTCTGAGTCATCTCTCCAACACTGGTCTGCTTTTCTTTAACAACAGTTACAAAGTAACCACAATTACACAGTAACAGTAGTTACTTTATAAATGTGTCTTGTGTTTGTCTGCAGGACTTTGCACCTCTGAGGCAATGGGATGGATGCCCTAGAAAGTGAGTGTGTAATGGAATGTGCACACAAAGGACCCTGTGCTTTGGATGAGGAACAGGATGTGCTCCAGGAGAGTGGAATAATGTGTACTAAATACAAGCTTTCTAAACTGGGGCCCTGTCTGCTGGGCTGTGAGGGCAGAACTGGAGGACTGTGCTGTCTGAGTCATTTGATCTCTGATCCTCCAGTAGAGGAGCTGTTAATATTATGAGACCCAACTGGGAGGCCCTAGCCAATGAGGGATTCTGGGAAGGGTTAGCAATCAGGAGTACTAGTGGCAGGTAGTGTTGGTTCTTTCCATGATTTTCTTCTGTTTCTGCAGTAGGGAATGGGAAGGAAGACCACAAGCTATCCCATAGTGAGTGTTGGGTGTTCAGAGCAGGTCTGTTGAGCTGACATTTCTGCTGTGACTTGGATGGACCATGAGACAGACTGTAGTTATGTTGGTCCATGTGGTTCATGGTGGCAGTGGCCCTTGTTCTTGGAGCCTCTTTGTGCATAGAGGCCATGTGCATACTGCAGCCATGGAATGGAAGGAAATGATGCTGGTTGTATCTCTGTCCAGAGTACACACATGGGCACTGCTTTTGTTGTGCAGTGGGAAGAGAGATTAGAAAACTGAAGGTTTAGTTTCTAGAAGTTCTGAATATTGCATTCCAATTTCAGGTTTGTGTTATAAAGATTATAAATAGTTTAGGACCTGGTAGAGCAATAGTAGAGTAGAGTGCTTTTAACATGGTGTTACCACTAGCTGCAATGGTGGGATCCAGTGAAGCTTAGTTCCAGGGGACAAAAGGAGTTTCTGATGTGCAGAGATTTCTCAGGTGTGCAATGTGTTAGACAGGTAGATAAGGCACAGTCCACATCTTCTGCCATAATCCATGTAGCAGGAAGCAGAGTTTAAATCATTTTTCTAGGCTGTTTTGGGATTGGGCATCTGTGGGACTACATTTATCTGAAACCAGAAGAAAGCACAAGGTGATGCAGATCCATCAAAAGAGATCTTCTCTATTTTCAAAGAGAACATTTATACCATGAGGCTTCTGTCTTTGAAGATTTATCAGTAACTGGGGGTCAGGAACAACACTTTAAGTATCGCTTTGAGATAACTTTGTGAAAGTTGTGCAGTTTGTGTTTATTTAATTTCTGTTCACATATAATCAAAGGTAGCTGGGTAACTTTGATCAAGATCACATTTTCTCTTGCTAAGTTTTCTGTGGTCTTTGATTAAAAGTTGACTATTCCTGCTTTTGTTTTTGACTTTTTTCTTCAACACCTTTCTTTTCACAAACATTGTACACATTCTTGCTTGATGGATCTTTGTGGAAAATATAGAAAGCATGTTATGTGAATCTGTATGCTATTTTTACTGTAATCTAATTATATGATTCATTTTCTTTCTTTTTTTTTTTTTTTTTTTTTTTTTTTGGTTTTTCGAGACAGGGTTTCTCTGTGGCTTTGGAGCCTGTCCTGGAACTAGCTCTTGTAGACCAGGCTGGTCTCGAACTCACAGAGATCTGCCTACCTCTGCCTCCCGAGTGCTGGGATTAAAGGCGTGCGCCACCACCGCCCGGCTATGATTCATTTTCTTGAAAATTGTGGACCTTCACCAATTATATTCAGAAAATTTCTTACATCATTAGTTTCAGTTTTAGGTTTTTGAAAAGTTTTATAAACAGACTGTTTTTTTTTTTTAATCTTAGATGCCTGCCTCTTTCCATGTGCTGGTGCTTACATCAGGGAAAGGAGTAAGCCCATACTCTAAACATTTTATATACTTTGACCTCAAACATGGCTCATTGATATTTGATATATCACTAAAAAAGCAAGTTTTTTTTTCTGTCTGCACAGAAAATTTTATTAATTTTGTTTGATGGTTGATATTGATTTTCAGCTAGATAAGACCTAGATTCAGGAAAGGAAGACTATTTCAGGCCAACCTTTGAGGGCTTACCTAGATCATGTTATTCTCTGTGGTGTTGTTATGAGAGAATATCTTGTATATTAAGTTCCTTGAGATGAGAAGTCCCTTCTCCCTTCCAGAATTGATAGCACTATTGCATTACATGGTCGTGGTACTGGATTTTATAATAAGGGCCAAGATTTATCATTCTCTGCCTCCTGACTGTGGATACACTTAATTATGTTAATAGTAGAATCAACAACAACTATGTTGAAGAAATAGAAACTACCCTTGCTTGCTATCTGGTTAGAGCGCACACTTTTTGGGAGTTTGCTGGGGATTCTTCTGCCTTGGTGTTTTCATGGACAATCCAAGGTTGAAGGGCTCATGGAGCGCTGATGACCACTTATGACCTTTTAACAGACTTGAAACACCTGCAGAGAGGACATTAATTACAGTGAACACCTGAAGGTGTGATAGATTCTAGAACCATAGGATAGCCAAGGACAGTTCCCTGTGCGGAATACAACTATTGTGATAGAAAAGTTGTTGTGCTAGGGATAGCAAAGCCTGAAACATTGAACTTCTCTAGGCTGTGAGAGTCCAGAATATCATTAAGAACTGAAGCATAGGGAGCTGGAGAGATGGCTCAGTGGTTAAGAGCATTGCCTGCTCTTCCAAAGGTTCTGAGTTCAATTCCCAGCAACCACATGGTGGCTCACAACCATGTGTAATGAGGTCTGGTGCCCTCTTCTGGCCTGCAGATATACACACAGACAGAATATTGTATACATAATAAATAAATATTTAAAAAAAACCTGAAGCGTAGCTTTCTGTTTGGGTTTCCTCAAATACCTTTGATTATTTGCTATGCCCCTATTCTTCCTTTTTTTGTAAGCAGTGAACTTTTACTCATCTTTTACAAGTAATACACATTTTAGACATTGTTTACTTTTTAAATGATAGAATTTTTAAAGAGACTGTAATTTAAGAATTTGATTTCTTTATATCCTTCTTTTTAAAAATGGAAATATTTTATTGTGATTTCTTATCATAGAAACCATATTTACAGCTGCCTACCTACAGGAAAAAAATGGGCTCAAAGTAGTACTAGTGATTCAAAGTAATTCATTCTGAATTAAAGGACAGTGGATTTTACTGATTGAGTTTTCAGATGTAATTTTACATGGATCAGAATTAGTGTGTTCTCTAAAACTTCTATATGAATCACAAGAAACCAGGGATAGTTTCTGCACTGGTACTACATTTGAAGAAAGCTTACAAACTTTCAATTTATTTCCTGTCTTTGCTGTCATACCTGTCTCATTCCATCACCATGCTGAATTCTTCTCAACTTCCACATCATTTCCAGCGGACAGAGTCATAGATTAAAAAATAATATAAGGATGTTACACAGGGGTTCTTAAAGAAAAAAATTGAATAAATTAATCAAGGAGCATTAAATACATGGAAAATATACAAAGAGTCTGGGTTGTGTATATTATTTTGTTTTCTTTGAATTTTTGACTGCAGAGAGACATTTGATTCTGGAAGCTGCTATGCTAGCCCAATATAAATTTTAAAGGTATGTTGACTTCAAAATTTGAGTCTAAGAATATGTTACTTTCGGAAACAGGTTCTGCTTTTGTTTTCACAGACATTCCAGGCTAATGATATATCCTTCTGGGTTTTTTGATGGAGTTGAGAACTAAATAGTTATAATTATAATCTTCCTTAGTTATGGTAATATATATTTGATATAAAAGTTTAGACTCATGAAGATAGGAAAGATGATGGATTATTTACCTTACTTTGCAAAATGTAAATTGACTATTGTAACTATAATTGTGGTTTGATAACTGTTTTGCATTTGTAATATTTTCTATGTTAAAACTAAAACCTTCCTTTTAAGTTAGACAGAAAAGGGGAGATGATGTGGATGCCATCTGTATGTATCTTGCTTCATTGGGAGATGAATAAAACTATTTTTGCCAATGGCTTAGGCAATTAAAGTCAGGTGGGAAATCTGAACAGTAATAGAGAAAATTGGTGAAGTCAAAGAGATACCATACAGCCACTAAAGGAGAAGAGGCCAGAATATTACCAGTAAGTCACAGCCTTGTGACAATACATACATTAATAGAAATGGGTTTACATAAGATGTAAGGGCTAATGAGGAATATGCCTGAGCCATTAGTTATAGAGTAATATAATTAATATCGTTTCTGTGTGATTCATTGGGTCTTGGCAGTTGAGAAATGAAAACAGAGTCTCTGATTACACTAATCAAGTGGGCCTGAGAAGGATAAGAAAAAAAGAACCTTTATCCAGCAACTGATGGAAACAGAGGCAGAGATGCACATTGGAGCACTGGATTGAGCTGCCAAAGTCCAGTTGAAGAGTGGGAGGAGTGAGAATGTGAACAAAGAGGTTAAGACCATGATGGGTTCACCCACAGAAACAGTGTACCTGAGCTAATGGGAGCTCTCCAACTCCAGCTGGACTGGGAAGGAACAAGCATAGGACCAAACTAGTCCCTCTGAATGTGGGTGACAGTTGTATGAGTGGGGCAGAGTGATGGGCCACTGACAGTGGCACCAGGTTTTATCCCTACTGCATGTTTTTTTGGAAAACTCTTCTCTTTGGATGGATACCTTGCTCAGCCTAGATATAGTAGAGAGGGCCTTTGACCTCACCTTCTCTGAGGATTGGATGGGGGTGGGGTAGGAGGTTATATGGAGGCAATGGGAGCAGAGGAAGGAGTAAAAGCTTGGATTGGTATGTATAGAAAAAAGAGATCCTGTTTTCTTTAAAAAAAAAAATAAACAACTAATCCAGAAATAAAATTAAAAAAAAAAGAATCACAAAGAAAATAAAACACTTAACCCCCCAATAAAGAAAATAAAACCGTCTAGCTTAGGACCGGTGACTAAGCAAGAGCAAAAGTCAGTAAACAATGTTTCTATGTGGTTTTTGACTTCTATTGGTAGCTTGAGTTTCAAACCTAAGCTCTCACAATTGTGGGTTATGGCCTTTCAATATCAGTAAAGTAAAACTGCTCATTACCTGAGATGATTTTGGTTAGAGAGAATTTAATGACAGCAGGAAACAGGCAAGTCAGAACAACAGGTGATAAACAAGTGTTTATTGTTGCTGGGTAGAACATGGGAACGTTGTCTTTTTGAGAAATGTGAACGATATTAGGACTTTAGATGGCAAAAGCCATAGAAGGTGCAGCCAGAGCTTCATTAGCTATTGTTGTAAGAGTAGGAATCTGGGAGGATTGAAAGCAATGAGCTCATAGGATGTAAGTTGGGAATAGAATCCATGAAAAAATTAGTTAGAGATCATTTGTATAGTATTTTGTCACCATATCATTCCTATTTTTTCTATTCTCTGAGAATTTGAGTAAGGCACAATTAAAAAATAATTGGCTGATTTCATGGTAAAGGATTTATTATATTGGGTGATTATCCCTGTTGACTCATTTAGGCAAGCAGTAAAAAAGAAACGAGTGGGGCAGAAAGAAATGAAGATCCAGTTTAATAGAGAAAACCAGCATGAGGCAGTTTAAAGGGCAGTCCTGTGATGAAGAAGAGGGAGAACATTTCGTGAAGTTTAGCACCATTAAAGAGAAGGCCTTTCTTAGCATTTGAAGCCTAGGAAGGTATCCTAAGGGTAAGACTCCATTCATCTAAGCCTTCAATTTGTGTAGGCATAGGTAACCTGATTCCTAATTCAAAGAAGCAACTCCGTACAGAACCTTCTGTAATTCTGTTCTATTGTGGTCTTTGGGGAACAAGCTCCAAGACTGTACTAGGGTTTGAAAATAATAATAATAGTTATTATTATTAAAATCCATGAATGTTGGTTAGAACTATTTCTATCTGCTGGGTAGGAAAGGAGCACACATGTTCTATTGGTAGCTTTCTCATTCCTGCATCATGAACTCTCTGTCCTCATTTTCCATACAGTTATACATATTCCCAACAGAAAGCTCTTATTTACACTGCATGGCCAGATAGACTGTGAGTGAGTAACCATGGCAACACGCTGCTGTGAGCCAGGCTCTGGTGCTGTGCAGGTAGGTGCCTTGGTGTGGGGAGTTATGTCTTTATGTTATCAGCCTGACTTTTTGCAAGTGATGACCTGGCACCAAACTTGCTTTATGCTGGGTCTTGGCTTGACAATCACACCTGTGGGTTTTGTCCTTGTACATTTCATTGTAGTGACAGTTAGTCTACTGTGATTTTGCATTGAGGTCTAAAATATGTGAATTGTTTGTAGCAGCCTGGAATTGGTAGACATCGCCATTCTCCTATGTTATCCTGAGTCATTGATAGAAATCAGGACCTAGGTGCATTGCAGTCTTTGTGGAAGACTAGATCTAGTTATGAAGCATATCCAGTATATTTTCTATTGATGGAAAGTAGATAATTTAGTGAGGATTCATCTTTTGATTGTTCATAGAGTAAATGCCCACATGATCAAGATGTAACCTTGAGATTACATGTGCAGTTTATATAAAAATCCATGGTAATGGGGAGATTCCACAGCTGTTTTACACATGTAAATTCCAGAGAGAAGCAAACAGTGTGTTGAGTCTATGGCATCATAATCCTTCCTTGAAACAAGGTTCCTCCATCAGAGAATTATTCACCTGGTGGGTGACTTCCAAACCATAATTGCCATCTGCTGTAAGTCTGATAAAGCCATTGCTATCAGCATTGGTTCAAGTGTAGTAGTGTCCATTACAAGTTAGAAGCCAAATTTGGGGTGATAACTCATGTGTGCTTGTAGTGGAAACAAAAAAGATGCAAAAACTATAAGTCAAAGAATCTTCTGTGGTTTCAGTTCAGCACTGTTGCACCAATCTGTTTTGCAGAGTCAGAAACTTGTTGCAGATTCTGTGAGATTTCACTGTATGAATCTGTGAAGATGAAGCCACAGTTGTATGTTGAGATGATAGGATGTTGAGATAACCAAGCTGTGAGACATATGCCCTGGAGAGCTGCATACAGGGAGGGCAACCAGCAAAAGAGGGACATCTATAAAGGTTTACAGGAATAGAACTATGTAGACCCTTTGGGAATGAAGTCCTAACAGCCTGAGACAGACCTACATGATTTTTTTGTTTGCCCTGATTAGTTTTAGTCTTACCTTGGTCAAATCTTCCCTAACTATGCTCATATTCCTTCCTTTGTTTTTTTTATTTATTTTTCTTTCATAATATACAATGAGTCAATACACCCAGTTTCTCTATCTTATTTTTCCTTTTAGTAGTTAGTATTTCTTAATTCTATTTTCTTATGTGTACTATGTACTGCTGCTCTGCTTCCTTGTCTCTCTCTGTTAATAGACATTTCTCTCATAAGGTGATATCTTATTCAAAGGGTACATAAGTATAGAATCCTGAACATAATTAGCTGTTAGTCTAGGACCAAGAAAATGGAAATATATGTTAGGAGTAATGGCAGAAATTGGGTACTGAGATCATAAGATTTCAGTTGGAAATAGATAAGCTCCAGAAAAAAAGCAATTAATCCTGAGGTCATTTGTGTGATATTTTGGCTCAAATCTTTCTTCTCCTGGCTATGCTCTGGAAATTTAGTAAGACAGAATTAAAAAATAATGGGCTAGTATCTTAAAGGCCATATTGAATCTATTCAGTGGCTATCACTTATGGCTCATCCAGGTGCACAGTGGAAAAAAACAAGTGGAACAAAAATTAATGAAAATGAAAAGGTAGTTTCAGACAGCAGTCATGTGTTGAAACAGGCAGGAATTTTTAAGGAGTTTATCACCATTATAGAGAAGGTCCATGCTATGGAATGGAAGCTTATCAAGGTGCCCTAAGTATAAGTAAGACTCTGGCCACAGAAACCTTCAATTTAGGGAAGGTGTGAGCAAAGTGATTCATAGTCTCAGGAAGCTACTTCTTTTTTTTGTTTGTTTTTGTTTTTGGAGACAGGGTTTCTCTGTGGTTATGGAGCCTGTCCTGGAACTAGCTCTTGTAAACCAGGCTGGTATCGAACTCACAGAGATCTGCCTTCCTCTGCCTCCCAAGTGCTGGGATTAAAGGCATGCGCCACCACCGACTGGCAGGAAGCTACTTCTTTCAAAACCTTCTGCACCTGTGGTCCAAGCTTGTTAGTGTCCTTCACAAATAAGAAATCACACTTTTCAGCATCACCCCATGTGTTGCTCTTGGAAACAAGAAAGAATCAAAATTTAAGATCACGAATTTTTAGTTTATGGTTACAGTTTATCATTGTTGCAGGCATCTATGTTAGGCAGAGTCAGAAGCCCAGTGAGGAGACAGTGAGAGTTCATTGCATGGAGCTCTGAGGATTGAAGCCTGGCGTTGTTGGTTGTTTCTTTTACTCTTTTCTCTTTTGAGGGCCTGAACACAGTTATTAAATAAATCACACACACGGAGGCTTTTTTTTTTTTTTTATAAACATCTGACCATGGCTTGCTTTGGCTTCTTTCAAGGCAGGTTTTTTTTTTTTAAAGATTTATTTATTTATTATATATACTATATTCTGCACCAGATCTCATTACAGATGGTTGTGAGCCACCATGTGGTTGCTGGGAATTGAACTCAGGACCTTCAGAAGAACAGGCAGTGCTCCTAACCTCTGAGCCATCTCTCCAGCCTTCAAGGCAGGTTGTTTTTAACTCAATTGTTCTCTCTATCTTTTCACTCTGGCCTTCATCTTTCTCTATTCTGTATTCTCTTCTTTATTTCTACTCCATGGCTTCTGTGTAGCTAGGTGAATGTCTCTCGTTGTCCTCCCCTTTTCTTGCCTCTTCTCTTTTTCCTCCCAGAGTTGTCCTCCCATTTATTCTTTTTTGGCAGCCAGCCCTCCCTATGCTTTCTTGCCATTCTATTGGTCATTCAACTCTTTTTCATTTAAGATAGGCAAAATATCACAACTTCACAGAGCTAAACCAATGCAGTATAAAAGACTACAGCAGTTCTTTGCATCATTTAATCAAAAGTTCTACAGCATAAACAAGTATAACACAATTAAAAATGCTATTTTGCAACACACTGGGTTGCATTTTGAGCCCAAACATGTTAAGATACCTAAGTTATGACACTACTTCCATGGAGACCTAGCTGCTCATAGGGAGTGGAAGTTACCAAAGAGAGAAATGCATGAGAACTTGCAAGGACAGGGCCATTTAATTCATTTGAAACTGAAGCCATACATCTGACAAGAGAGCTACAGGATTTGATGTTTATCCTGCTCTGCTTCAGTCTTGGTTCAAACTTCCCTTACTGTGTCTTTATTTTTCTCTTTTGGGATGTTAATGGTATTTTGTGCCACTGTATGTTGGGAGTATGTAACTTGCTCTCAGAATGTAGAAGATGTTACAGTCTCTGAATTTATAAAATGTTACTGTCAACAGATTGTCTTCAGTGCCAGAGGAGTCTTTGTACTTTTAGATAGTAGCAGATGTGGATCATTGCATGAGAATCATTGCAGAGACTGAATACACTTTTTCATTGTTGACTATGAACCAATAGTGACCGGGGTCAGAGTGTACTTCACTGAATGAACAACCTCCCAGAGAAGATCATGTACTTGAACAAGTTTCTCTCCTTGGTGGCCTTTCTTTCAATTTCCTATGAACATTTAGTAGAAAAGGCCTTTCTAGATGAAATTCCTCAGTGTATGTGATGAGTAACAATATCCTTAACTAATTTTCTGACCTTTATATCTACTGTGTTGTGGTTGATATTAATCAGTCAGCTTCCCACTCATACTGAAATGCTTTTACCATCATTATAGGGCTGATCTGTAAAATCACATAAAATATAGAAGAAACAGTTGCTGTTCAGTGCTAAGGAATTTGGTAGCCTGCAGTTTTAGTTGTTTGGTTTGCTTGTCTGAGTAACCTTTGCTGTGTGGCTCCAAATTCCTGAAAGTAAAGGGAGGGGGGCTTCATTCATTGATATAGGTATGAATAATTTGCATTGGTATGGATTTTACAGTCAATTTTGTTATATGTATATGTATTTCTGATCTTGATTAAGGTATTGTGATTGTGTAGTTCATTAAAAAATGTAATGTATAATTAAGAAATGTAAGTTGTTGATAGATAATCATAAATAATAGTCAAGCTTGTAGTCATGTTAGTTAGATTTTCTAGATATATAGAGATATATTTCAGTTAGATAGACATTCTTCATATCTTTCAAAGACTGCAGAATATGGCATTTAATGTTTTAGTAACTTAGGACTTTTCATGACAATGAGACATATCTGCTCCTGGAGGCACCAATCTTCGAGAGGAAGATGGGCATCGAAGAGGATCCTTATGGAGTTTGATAGCCATTTGGGCAAGAAACTGCTCTTGCCTGGACTGTTGCATAAAATGGACACAGAGAACCCGCAGAGAGAGGACTGCTGAACTTGCCTAAAGGTGAGACGGTCTTTTGGGGTTCATGACTCATAAAAGAGTCTGCGAGACATTCTGCAGGACACAGCAGATAGTGACTTAACTGTCTTTGAAATTGCCTGCTTGATGAAAATGTCTGCTGGATACTATGGGCCTGAAGGCTGAAGATGGATGCCCCAACAGTACAAAAGAACTTTGGGTGACTGTACAGGCAGCGAGATATCTCTGTCATTTCTAGAGTTTTCTTATTTCTTGTTTACTTAGGTAGTATTATATCCTTCTGGAGTCTTTGATGGAGTTGAAGAATGGATAGGTAGTTATAATTTTCCATTGTTATGATAGAAGATAAAATAGATACAAATATTGTAACTGTGATTCTTGCTTAATAACTGTTTTGCTATATGTAATTTTACTATGTTAAAGTTAAAGCCTTTCTTTTTGCTTAAACAGAAAAAGGGGAAGTGATGTGGGGGTGTCATATATCAATCTTTTGATTTCATTGGTTAAGCAATAAAGAAACTGCTTGGATGGCCCTCATAGGTTAAAACATAGGTAGGCGGAGTAAATAGAACAGAAGGCTGGGAGAAAGAAGCTAAGTCAGGAGTTGCCATGATTCTCCCACTCCAGACAGATGCAGGTTAAGATCATTCCTGGTAAGCCAGCTCGTGGGCTACACAGGTTATAAGAAATGGGCTAGTCCAGGTGCGAGAGTTAGCTGAGAAAAGGCTAGATATAATGGGCCAAGTGGTGTTTAAAAGAATACAGTTTCCCTGTAATTATTTTGAGTAAAGCTAGCAGTGGGGGCGGCTGGGTGCCAGGGACGCAGCCCGCCACTCCAACTACAACAATTCATGGCTTTTTGTTTTGATGTTATTGGGTGATGACCCTGGAATGTAGGCTCTTTACATGTCAAGCATATGTTGCTGTGCTCAGCTTCATACATATCTTGAATTTTCAATTTGACAGAGGGTTTCATTCCGATCCCCAGGATGCCATGTATTCATGACATTAATACTGCCTGAGCATTCTGAGTCATTGAAATGCAGGTGCATGAATGTTTTCTTGCTTGTTATGCTTGCTTTTAATTTTTTTACTTAATATGACTATTTTATGTGTCTGCATGGATATGCACCATATGAATACCTGGTCATCAGAATGATCAAAGCATCTCAGAATCCCGAATTTGAAATAATAAATAGTTGCAATCCCCATATAAGTACTGGAGTTTGTGACCAGGAAGAGCTCAGTAGTACTCAACCATATTTCCAGACCTGTGCTAATTAGTTGTGTCCAATATTTATATTGCTAATGTTTTCATCTGTCCATTTGTAATTATTTTAAAAATGTAGCTCCTTTTCATAAAATGTTATTGGTATTACAGATTAAAATAGACACTTCTGATGTCTGGAATATGAATACAGAACTGGAGTGAATGCATAATTCTTTGTAGGAGCTTCAGTAAACATCTCTAAATTCTTTATATCTGATTTTTATTCACTGATTTTTGCAATGGAGACAGGGTCTTAATGTGTACTTCCACCTGTCCTGGACATGATTCCATAGACTTGGCTGGCATTCAACTCAGAGACAAATATACATACCTCTGCTTTCTGAGTCCTGTGCTTAAAGGCCATGAGTCAATATACCCAGTTTGTCCACTGTATTTTTCTTTTTTGTAATTAGTATTTTTCCATACAATTTTCTCATGTATACTATATCCTGTTGATCTGTTTCCTTAGCTCTCCCTAGTAATAGACAGTTCTTTTGTAAGGTGGTATCCCATTCAAAGTGTATAGAAATGACAGAGGTGACTCTCCTATTCAATTTCCTTCTAAAGTGACTGTCTCATGGAATAAGAGTGGGGAATTTTATGACTATACTGTCAAAGAAGTATACATTTACAATGTTGTCACCATCATACTTCCTATTAAACACATGAATGAAATATTTTAGAGGACAGTGACCTATGATGATGTGCATATCAACTTCACTAAGGAAGAGTGGGATTTGCTGGATCCTTCCCAGAAGAATCTCTACAAAGATGTGATGCTGGAGACCTACAGGAACCTCACTACTATAGGTAAAAATGAATTTCCTTCATGTTTCAAAATAAGGGGACAACTTTTTCTTGGTTAATCGTGTTCTTTTGTAAATTGATTTAGAAAGAATAAGAATAAGTTGAATAAAGCAGTCATAGTTCTAAGGTTCTCTTAAGATAACAGCTTAAATATTACACAATTGTCAATAATATACATTTTCTGGTATTATGTTTTAGGATGCATTTGGGATGACCATAATAGTGAAGAACATTGTCAATGTTCTAGAAGACATGAAAGGTAATTTTCATGTGCAAATCTGATAACAATGTGCCTCTGATAAAATTGTCATGTGTCCTGTAAGTTTTAAATAGGAGCAACAGTGTAAATAAGCACAACTTTAAGTGCACTGATGGTTATTAATTTTTCATGAATCCATATATCATATATGTGAATTGTATTTGAATGACATTTTCTTAAGAAAGGAGTCAAGAAAGCGATGCCTAAAACAGATATCACCTTTTGAAGCATAACAACATGAGAACTTTGTTGTAGATCTGCAAATACATTTCTAGTTTGCTACTCATAATACAAAAGGTATACACACTGAAGAGATAATAAGTATATCTGCAAAACTTCCTACTGAAACCAATAGCCCATAGTAAATCTTGTATTACTCATACACTTCTTGTGACCGTGCTAAGTTTAGTCAGAGGAACAGTTAGAGTCGAGTCAAGTTGTTGTGGAGAAACCTTGATATCTATACCACAAATCTGTGAGGAACAGCAAGTCAAACCCTGAGAATTCAATGTGGAAATCTTCTATTTGTTATTCTTCTTTACTAAGTATACCCTATGTTACTCTAGATACAAGCGTATGAACATAGGGATATAGTGAGTTGTAGCATACCTCTCTCTAAAAACAATTAGATGATAAGACATAGCCCCCATGCAGAGTATACTTGTTGAATTTTATTCCACTATGCAAGTAATCAGTTTTCCACCATCACTTTTAATACATGAACAAACGCACACTGCAAAAAATCCCTATGAGTTCTAGCACTGTGTAAATACTTCCTGGTGTCCTCGTTCACATAGCAAATGCATTATGATTCACAGTATAGGAGAATTCATGTATGTTAAAGCTCTGAGTTTATCCAGTTCTCTTCACATATGTATAAAATATCATATAGAAAAAAAGTTTCTGCGAAGGTGAAAAGGTAAGCCATAAAAGAAAGGAATTTATCATTGGAGATATCTTCAAAGTTGCAAAACAGTGCCTAATTAAAGACTAACACATGAGTTTAGACACAGTTTTTAAAACTTAGCATCTGATTCCTTTTTGCAATTGGAACATATTATAAAATTAATTCATACAAATGGTTAGGCACAACTAGTTGACTGTGGTAAAGCTTTTACATGTGCCAATTATCCTTGCAGGATTAAAAGAATTCAAACTGGAGAGAAACTTTCAGTATATCTTCAGTGTGGTAAACCCTTGACATATGACAGTCACCTTAAATGGAATGAAAGAACAAAGACTGGAGAGAAACCCTATGAATGTAATCAGTGTGGTAAGGTCTCTTCAGGTCACAGTAATCTACAAAAGCATAAAAGGACACGTACTAGAGAAAAACCCTATGGATGTTATCAGTGTGATAAGGCTTTTGAGTGTCACAGTGATCTTCAAAGGCATGAAAGAACACACACTGGAGAGAAACCTTATGAATGTAATCAGTGTGGAAAGGCCTTTGCACAGCAAAGTGGTCTTCAAAAGCATCAAAGAACACATACTGGAGAGAAACCCTATAAATGTAATGAGTGTGGGAAGGCCTTTGCAGCTCACAGTAATCTTCAAAGTCATAAAAGGACACATACTGGGGAGAAACCCTATAAATGTAATGAGTGTGGGAAGGCCTTTGCAGTCCACCGTACTCTTCAATTGCATCAAAGAACACATACTGGAGAGAAACCCTATGAATGTAATCAGTGTGGGAAGGCCTTTGCACAGCACAGTGGTCTTCAAAGTCATAAAAGAACACATACTGGAGAGAAGCCTTATGGATGTAATCAGTGTGGAAAGGCCTTTGCAGAGCTGAGTGGTCTACAAAATCATAAAAGAACACATACCGGAGAGAAGCCCTATGAATGTAATGAGTGTGGTAAGGCCTTTGCAGTGCACCGTACTCTTCAATTGCATCAAAGAAGACACACTGGAGAGAAGCCCTATGAATGTAATCAGTGTGGGAAGGCCTTTGCACAGCACAGTGGTCTTCAAAGTCATAAAAAAACACATATTGGAGAGAAACCTTATGAATATAATCAATGTGGTAAGGCCTTTGCAGAGTGCTTTGCAATTGCATAAAAGATCACACTGGAAAGAAACCCTATGAATGTAATCAGTGTGGTAAGGTCTTTGCAGCTCACAGTAATCTTAAGAGGCTTACAAGATCTCACTCTAGGTAGAAACCCTATGAATGTAATCAGAGTGATAAGACCTTTCCTGGCCATTGTATTCATCAAGTGCATAAAACATACTGGAGAGAAACCCTATTATCATAATCAGTGTGGTAAGGCCTTTGCACATCACTGTCATTTTCAAAGGCATAAAATAACACACAGTAGAGAGAAACCCTTTGATTTTATTCAGTGTGCTAAGACCTTTGCAGATCACAGTAATATTTACAGGCATACAAAAACACATGCTGGTGAGAAACAGTACGAATGAAATCAGTGTGATAAAGCCTTTTCATGTCTTATTCATCTTCAAATGTACAAAAGTACATATTCAGGAAAGAAACTGTGAGTATAATTTGTGTGGTAAATCCTTTGTTACAATAATCTCCAACTACATGAAATAAACCCTTCTGGAGAGAAACTATGAATTTAATGAGTGTAGTTTTCAAAATCATGAGAAAAATCATATTGTAGTGAAACTCTTAAATTAATTCAGTGTGCTAAAGTTTTCTACTTTATACTGGAGTAAAACTTTTTGGTAATCAGTCTGATAATGCTTTTTCATATTACAGTAGTCTTTGGGTACCTGAAGAAGAAATTGAGGGTTTATTCTAAATTATTTTTTTAAATTTATTTATTTATTATGTATACAATATTCTGTCTGTGTGTATGGCCAGAAGAGGGCACCAGACCCCATTACAGATGGCTGTGAGCCACCATGTGGTTGCTGCGAATTGAACTCAGGACCTTTGGAAGAGCAGGCAATGCTCTTAACCACTGAGCCATCTCTCCAGCCCTCTAAATTATTTTTTAAGACATTAAGCCAATACACTTAAAGTCAGTTAATCAACATTTATTCTGTAGAGAAAAATTGATAGTGTCAATGATCTGTTCAAGCATTATGATACCTCCTTATTTTTTTTGCACCAGCAAACTGATGGCCAAAACTTAATTTATGAATATATGAAGTCTTATGGGTAGGAGAAAGGTCCTTTCAAAGAAACATACCCTGGTCCTGAAATGAAATCCAAAGGAAACACTTTGCCGGGCGGTGGTGGCGCACGCCTTTAATCCCAGCACTCGGGAGGCAGAGGCAGGCAGATCTCTGTGAGTTCCAGACCAGCCTGGTCTACAGAGCTAGTTCCAGTACAGGCTTCAAAGCCACAGAGAAACCCTGTCTCGGAAAAAAAAAAAAGAAAAAGAAAGAAACAACATCACCCCCAAAACAGAGCCAAATGTTAAAAAGTGCCAGTGTAGGAAATATACTTTGAATCTTAAACCAGAGTCAAAGAAACACACTCTACTCTTGTCCAACTGAACACAAAACCAATCCCAGAGCTCAAAATCTAGTGCTGGAAATATTTTAAAGTCTATTTATATCAGTTTGGAGTCTGAAATAGGCACAAACTCATAAAGAAGAAATCCCTATTCATGAAAACAGTTTGTTAATGAATTTAGATTTCACAGTTGTCTTTAGATTCAAGAATAATTGTTTCTCTTCATAGCCTTAAAGTAAGCAAATTATGTACCATGTTTACTCCAGACTGGTGGAGGAGATCATGGCAGTGTGGTTTCTATTTTGAAACATGAGATAGTCACTAAAGTGTGCTCTGTTTGTGGCAAATCCATTTAGTGAAGTTTATTTTGTAGTCCTTATATTCCTTCTGTGACTTTTGTTCAGCTTCTGTTGTGCCTGTACCTAGTGATATGTATTTTTCTGCTGTAACGTATATAATGGAGCCCCCATCATATAATTGTCCCATTGGTTATTGAAATGTCAGACCATGTTTGATCATACTTTTCAAGTAAGGGTGGTGGTTAGTTGCTCCTAGTTGAGTCTCATCTTTTCAAAAATTTCCTTGAGATTTGTTGTTTGTTATTTGTCTTAGCTTGGATGTCAGCAATGATTTAGGTATGCATTTGAACTCATGATGCTTATGTGTTTTCCTCTTGAGTACAACAAATCCAAGGGTAGGTGATGAACTCCCAATGTGTGCTGTTTCTTCAAGAGATTTAACAATGTTAATGTTAAAAAGACTGATAAAAGAAATTATAAGAAACATTAAATATCTCATGTATGTATTCAAAGAAATATTTTCATTTATCTGATATAGATGTAGTAAAGTATGATAGTCAGCCATCAACTGTGTATCTAATACCAAAGTTTGATGTTCTATAGGGATTTAGGTTAGTTTTATTGTCTTGCACAAAACAGTCTTTTTCCACTGATCCATCTCACTGGTGCTCAACTTCAACTTGAAGAAATATTACAACAGTAAAATTTGTTCATTTTGATGACTAGACATTTATAACAGTTTCTCAGAACCAAAATTATATGCCAGAGAATTGTCTCATTTAGACAAATAAATAAATAGGGAATAGAGATTGAGGAAGACCTTTCATATCAACATTTGGCCTTCAGACACAAATGCTACACAGCACTTGGTGGGCCAGTCTTGAGATTACACAAAATTGTGTCAAAAACTAAACCAAAACCACACAGTGACAACAACAACAAAACAGAAGTTGTGAAGGGCTAAGAAGACAGGTAAGCTAGTCTTGTGAGCTTAAGGATCTCAATTTGAGCCCCAAAATTCATTTTGAGAAGAAAAAGAAAAAAAGGTATGGTCACAAGCAATGGGACTGGGACATGTAGACAAATGGGTACCTTGTCTTGTTAGTTAGCTAGACTAGTGTTTTTGAAAAGTTACAGAGCAATCAGAGACTCTATCTCAAAAGAAAGAAAATAAAACTTGGAGAACTGACACCAGAGGTTGGCTTCTATCTTACACACACACACAACCATGAACTGCCAGGTTCTCTGGCAGGAAGAGCAGTAGCAGAGCCAGGCCTGCCCAGTTCTCCCTGGGACTGAGCAGAATGGTGAGTATCAGATGTTCCAGCCCTTCCCCCCTGGCCTCCAGGGAGAAACACACCCACTGGTTAGGATCAAGGGACAAGATGGATAAGCTTTTGTGCCCCATGATTTTTTTTTTAATTTTTGTTAATTTTTTTTTTCAATTTTTATTTTTAAGTTTGCGTCTGATTTCCCTAGAATCTGGTTTCTGGAATAAGTTATGCTTCTGGTTTATGAGACTTTGGGGGTCTGTCCCCATATTTGCATGACCCCCCTGGACCCAACATTTTGGTGGTTTGTATGAGGATGTTCAAACCTCTTTCTAAGGGGACATCCCAGTTTCCGGTTTTTGGCGAACTTTATTATTCTGTTTTTGCTCATTGGTAAGTTTCTGGGTCTGGTGACTGGTGTCTGGACAGTCTGGATGCTCAATTAGATATAGTGGACATGCTTTTTTAGAAAAAACATTTATTTATTAATTATGTATACAATATTCTGTCTATGTGTATGCCTGCAGGCCAGAAGAGGGCACCAGACCCCATTACAGATGGTTGTGAGCCACCGTGTGGTTGCTGGGAATTGAACTCAGGACTTTTGGAAGAGCAGGCAATGCTCTTAACCTCTGAGCCATCTCTCCAGCCCCTGTGGACATGCTTTTAACCTCAGAGCTGAAGGAAAATGTGGGATGGTTTCATTTCTCCTCTGGTTAGAACTGGAACGGGATGACATGGCCCAACATGCAGCATTCCCTCTTCTGAGTCTGCTGGCTTCTTGTCTTCCCATTTTATTTTCTTGTTATTCTATTTGTTGTCAGTCTTCTCGTTGTGATCATGTGTGAAGTAATTTTCATTATGGGAAAAGCTTCTTCCAAACCTCAAGCTCCCCTGGACCTTGTCCTTTCTCATTTTCAGGATTTCAAGGAGGCCACTGCAGTCTCTGTTGCCCCTGCGAAGCTGGAGCTACTAAAGAAAAACCTTCTACTTTCTTGCAGAGAAACACTCCCTCCCCTCCTCCTGCCCCCAACTTGCTACTTAGGTGCTGAGCCCACTTCACCTGTGTTTAGGGAAGCCACGGGTGGTGGGTGGAGGGAGAAGGTATCTCCTGCTCTCTTTCTCTCTCTCTCTCTCTCTCTCTCTCTCTCTCTCTCTGCACTTTGGGACTTCCTGATGGGGATGGCAGCTCTCACCTGTTTTATGTCCTCTTTCAAGTAGTGATCTGTATAACTGGAAACTTCAGACTCCTTCCTTTACTGAGAAACCCCAAGTGCTAAATAAAATATCTCCTAGATACTGTCCTGTTTACACATTCCCAGATGTGGGGGTGGATTGCTCCCTAAATAGAAGAGATAGAATTCAGCAAAAATGCTATAAGCAGGTTCCAGTATGAGATGAGATAGTTGAACCACTAATGATGGGGCATTCATTAAGGAGGTGATCTTAGAGCACTTGGTAGACAGCCCACCAATCTGTCTAAGGCTCCTGAGAACCAAATGGCAGTCAACCCGGCTTTCATCAACCAAGCAGTCCCAGATAGTAAGAGGAAGCTTCAGCCACTTAAAAACTTGAAGGTAAAACTCAGACTAAATTGATTGCTTTAGCCACTAAGGTTTATAACAACAGAAAAACACCTAAGGATAAACAAGTTCAGGGACTGACAAAAGTCTTACTGGCAGATAAGAGCAGGAGACCCGATGGGCAGAGGGAACACAGACTGTCCCAAATAGCCAACAGGCAATAATGCCCACAAAGAAGAAACGGGACAAAAAGTCCTAAAATTGCCAAATCCAGAAGCCTGAAAGAGCTGAAAGGTTTGAAGCCTCCCCTTGAGCCTTGGGTAACCCTAAAAGTGGAGGGTTAATCTGTTGATTTCCTAGTGGACACAGTTGCTCACAATTCAGTGTTAAAAACTCTATTGGGGCCTCTGTCAGACAAAAAAATGTGGGTTCAAGGTATGGGATTAGGAAGAAAGAAATTCATGCATTCCTTTATAGTTACCCCTGAATGCCCTTACCCCCTCCTGGAAAGAGACTTATTGGCTAAAATGAAAGCCCAAATTTATTTCATTGGGAAAGGGGTGACGATCTCCCCATGGCCTGAAGTCTGTGCCTTATTTCTAGATCTGAAAGAATACAGGCTCTTCTAACAGGCACTCACTTTAGAGGCCTCTTCTCTAATGGCTAAACTCTAGTGCTCCATCCCAGGAGTGTGGAAACTAATTCACCTGGACTAGTGATTCAGGAGCCCCCAGTTGTAGTCACCTTAAAAGCCAATGCCCAAGAGATGAGGGTGAGACAGTTCCCCATGACCCCAGAGGCCAAGTTGAGCATTACTAAATATATCATTCAGTTCCTGGAGCATGGAATCCTAATGTCTTGCCAGTCTCCACAAAACACTCTGCTTCTGCCAGTTAAAAAGCTAGGGACCAGTGACTTTCAACCCATGCAAAATCTTAGGAAGATTAATTAACAGGTTAAAGATAATCATGTTACAATTCCCAACCCCTACACTCTCCTGAGCACCCTCTCCCAGGAGCTTCAAGTGTATTCAGTTCTAGATCTTAAAAATGCCTCTTCAGTTTAACTCTTGAATCCAAGAGTCAGCTGCCTTTTGCTTTCGAGTGACATCACCAAGACCAGGTGTTGTTCCTTTTGCAAACTACAGCTCCCAGCATTCCCCTGGACTGGAAGCCGCAAAGGCACAGGACACTTCTCCCAGATGCCCTTGCATTCCTCATTAAAAGACGGGGGTCGCCACGAGCCCCCTCTCTCTCCCCCCCTTCCTTTAGTCTCTGCACACCCATACCCTACGTGTTGTTACCCCTCCCCCATTAAAGTGCACCCACGTGGGACCGCCGTGTGTCTGTGTCTCCTTCCTAACCCCACACCGCCGTGTTTCTCGCGTAAGGTCTCCACTCTTGTCTGTCTAACCCCCGCAGACAAGAAAGGCAGAAACAAGAATAACACCAGGGCTTCAGTGGTAAGCTCACCTGGACTTGCCTGCCACAAGGATTCAAAAATTTCTCAACCATCTCTGATAAAGCCTTACAATGAGACTTAAAGGATTATCAGTCCCTATAGCTGGAGGTTCCTCTGAGCTTCAGGCCCTGTCAGATTCTATTCACTCACTTTTAGGATTTCAGGAATCTAGCAGTAGATTTTGCCAGCCTTCCCTGCCCCTCTCTGCCTCAGGAGTCCAGGCTACAGCAGGCTCCTGTCTGTGCCTGCACCTCTGGCAGCCAGGGAGAGGACCGCCCCTCCCCCACAGGTACTGTGGTCAGTCTCGAACCAAATACCCAGGAGGAGCCAGGAGGACAGAGGCAAGCAGAGATGACTGCAAGGCCAGGTGCCGAGGATGGCCACTGTCAGTCACTTCTGGAAGATAATTGGTTTAGGTCTCACAAAATGACACCTGTTCCAAAGCAGCAGAGCAGGAAAGACGGGAGCAGTGGAGCTACAGGAGCAGACCCACCAGGAAAGTGCAACTGGCCTGCAGCCCCTCCCCCACCTAAAATTCAGCTGGAAATAGTAAAAAAAAGTTTTGTCTGTTTTAAATGCATAAGCATGGCCACTAACTGCTTATTTCCAAATTTATAAGTTAGCCATGCTCAGTGTGTCCTGGCTGCAGCCCTGACTGACTCCCTAAACTCAATATTTACCTCTAAATATTCTGGTTATTGAGTCTGATATATAATTGCTTTTCTTTACCTTCTCAGGAGACAGTCTCAATGGGGTATAAACTTGTTCTGCTATTACGCAAAGAATGATTATTGTTGAGTCCACAGGGACATGCAAACATGGGGACAGACCTGAAGCAAACTTTATTCCAGAAACTAGATGCCAGGAAAACCAGAAGCAAACATTAAAAAAAAACCACAGGGCACAGAAGCTTATCAGCCAGCTGAGGCCAGAGGCAGAGATGGTGTTTGTTAGGAGGTGGCAAAAGGCAGATTTCTGAACCCATATTTTTATAGCAGGGTCACCAAGCATTAGGTCTGAACAAAGGAATTTTTGTGATCTAGCCCTGACCAGTGGATCACTGGAGACACTAAGGTGGGGAGTAGGTTCTAACATCAATAGGTAACTAGGCAGCTATCATGAAATGTTTCAGAGGAGACTACAGTGAAAGTCACTAATTTCAAGAAAACAGATGTCTTGGGCTGGAGAGATGGCTCAGAGGTTAAGAGCATTGCCTGCTCTTCCAAAGGTCCTGAGTTCAATTCCCAGCAACCACATGGTGACTCACAACCATCTATAATGAGATCTGGTGCCCTCTTCTGGCATGCAGGCAGGCATGGAAGGAATGTTGTATACATAATAAATAAATAAATATAAAAAAAAAAGAAAGCAGATGTCTTTAGCAATTAGTTAGAAAAAGGGACTGCTAATAATATCAGAGGGTTGATAAATTAGAATAATTGGTTCTTAGGTGGGGAACTTAAAGGATAGCAGAAAGTTTCTCACACTATCTCAAGGTAAATCTCAGATAGAGATTGCCTTTCTTTAAAATCTTCATGAGACGAGTTCATTAGTCAAGCCAGTGTCTGCACTTAATCCACCGTCTCCCCTGGTGTTTTCAGGCAGTGTATACTGAAGCCCCATGCCTTCCCTTTGATGGAGCCAGTTTCCAATAACAGAGACAGTGCCTAAGAGTATATCTCTGTCTCCTGTTTGGGCCCTTGCGGGTCCAACACAGATTCCCTAACTGGACTGGAACGGAGTCGTGAGGAAAAGTCAGACGCAGCTTACATGGTCTTCATGGAAGGGCAAGATCTCTCTCCAAAGATCTCTCTCTGTTATCCAAACACCTTACATATCACCACATCATTTGAGCAGGAAAACACATTAGGCTGTCTCCTAGGCAATCAGGTGCATGGGCTCTTAGTCAGGTCCCGCTTCTACC